CATGATCATACCACATATCCGATTTAATAAATTATTATTATTATTATTATTATTTAAATAAATTAAATGACGTACCGGTTTCATTATGATCAAGGTGAGAACATACACTTGAGATTGTTTAGAAAATACAGATTAGTTTATTGTACATAAAAATATTTGATAGATAGTCAAAAACATAACCTTTGATCAAGTATCGTCTATTATTATCAAACACTTATAAAATTGATTGAGATGGCTTTATTAACTCTATTTTTGACTAAAATATACTTATTTAATATTCGTAGCTCACTTATTGAAACATTTACGCTCGAGATAATTCTTTTATTTTCGTACTTGTATAGCGTTATTGTGCAAGGAAATGTTATGATTAGACATCAGAAACTTTGTGGCGACAATCAAGTAAGTAAACAGCAGTAATCTATATTAGCAAAAAATCTGGGTTGTTCATCGGCATGCCAGGCCGACAAGGACAGGCTGCCGTTAGATACGTATCGAATAAATTGATCGATGCGAAGTTTTAGGTCAGAAGGAGATATGTATTGTACAGTTGTTGTACAATGTCGCGGATAGTGGGATTACTAAAATGTGAAGTAGTTGATAGTTCATCACCATTAGTAAAAATAGCATCTATTAAAAACTTCGACTACTATAGATATGCGCCTGTGACCTCTTGAAACTCTTACGGAACACTAAGGACAACTGTTAATTATTTTCTACAGTCCCTTTCCTTATGAGTTAGAAATTATTATGTATATTGTTAACTTTGACTGGTACTTATTATTACGTACTATACTTACATATTTTATGGTAAGTTCCATGTGAAGTGTTTAGTCTAGAAAAATTGGAATTGCCCTTTTTGATTCATACTGTTATGGAAATACTTACATATAATGTAAAGACTGCAGTTATAAGAAGGCAAGTGTTAATTTTTGTTTGAATAAAATTACATAAAATATAACCCGGTCTACAGTCAACTCTGTACCACATTGCAGCCGCCCTAACATTTCCGATCTCTTGTTATGATACTGGAAATAAAAAATTGGGAGCATCGTGTAGGAAATATCATACTAAATTAAACCAAAGCCAATAGAGACTTAATTATTAATACATTAATTCATAAAAATGTACAATAATCTATTCGTTCGTAATTATCTCTAAAATACGACAAATTGGAAGTACACTGTATTCTGAATGACCGTCGAATAGATAAATTCTTCAGCTAAAAAAATCTAACAAGCAAGAGTTCATGTTCATGTTTAAAGGAGGCGCAGTTTGATAAAAGTGTATTCCCAAAAACAATATTTGTAATCTGTAAGGTAAATCAAATATGAAATATCTATGAAAAGCGTTATTGTATATTACATACCTTCTACATTACCTAAATTTTTCAAAGTTTCCTATTTGAAATTCCGAATTTAGTCTTAAAAAAACCATGTTCTGAATTTCAATATTCAGTGCCGTAGATATGGCGGTGTAAATCCCTTTCGTGAAGCGTAACTTCTGTATCTATGACGTTTTTTTTAGATATGTATATTTGGTTAAAAATACTCTTGTCAAATTTTCGTACTTTTAAATTTTCGAGCAAATTGCAAAATTATTGAATTTTTAATTTGTTTTAGAACATATATTTTCCATACCCTGTAACAAATGTTAAACGTTTACAAAATTATGTTATCTTGCAGTCCAAGGATCGTTTTCCAAAGACTACAATGTCGTGCCAATAGTGGGTGGCATAAGTGGAACCGGAGTCACAACCCGTTACTGGGATTGTTGTAAACCGTCATGTGCTTGGGCTGAAAATTTGAAAGTCGAAACTGACACCCCTGTAGCGTCTTGTTCAACTGACGGATCAACTGTAGTAAACGCCAGCGTCCAATCAGCTTGTATAGGAGGAGGTGCTTACATGTGCAGTAATCAACAACCCAAAGCGGTCAATGAGACGTTTGCTCTTGGATTTGTGGCTGCTTCCTTCACCGGAGGTGCCGATACCAACTATTGTTGTGCTTGTGTGCGACTTACCTTCCAGTCTCCTATTCAAGGCAAACAGGTGCGTAAAGAGACAGAATATGTTTATTCCTGAATAAACGGGCTTAAATTATATTTGATATTTCTGAAAAAATTAAGTTGTTAAAAACATTCAGAGTTGGTCTTAAATGTGAACATGCATTTTAAGTAGTGTTACAGTTTATTGTGTAAAAAATGATAAAAGAGGAGGGTTGTTAAGTGTGGTTTTCGACCCAATTGGAAAAATTTCAAAAATGCATGATTTTTAGAGTTTGGGACCAGACAAACTAAATTCAATCGATTTTAGTCCAAACGGACTGATCTCCCACCCCATACTGCATACCCCCCAATAACCGACCCACATCCAACTATGACAGGTAGAGATGGCAGAAAAATGACTTTTATCTGCTCCCACTATAGTAAATAGACTATTATTAATACATTGTTTTTAAGGAGGTAAGTGGATTTTATCGTAGAAGTGGAAGTTGCTATGGACAACGGGAGGTAAGTGAGATAACTTACCTCCCTAGGGACAAAAACGAGATCAAGTTATAAATGCATATTTTATGAACAAATAAATAGAAATATTTGATGAACATTACATTTTGTTAATTATTATGATTGAATATTTATAGTAATTATACAGTTATTACATTTAGTAACATTTATAAAATCTGGATAATTATTCCCCTCGCGTTTACTAATTGTCACATTGTTCTCAAAATGATTTGACCGCTCCATTTCAGTCACCGGAGGCTCAATATTATCTGACTGATCCATTAAACACCATGATGCGAAGTATTACTAGAAGTTGAAGTGTCATTGTAAAGAATCCTGCTGGTTATTTCATTTTCATTACTTAAACTGTCAGCAACATAACTTTCTGCAATCGTGGATGATTTCCTCCCAACATGTCTCTTGATTACTAATACATCAACTCCTGTATTAGCTAGTAACGTTGTCGATGTTCTTCTGAATGAATGGGCTGTATATGTTTTAGGATGTTCTAGTTTCAAAGACTGTACAGTCTTATTAGGAATCATAGAAAGCGCATTCTTGCCGACTGGTTGGTTGTAACATCTACCTGCTTGATGGCGCATAAAAAAGCGTGAAATTTCAGTTTTAATTTCCTATCTAATCTTGTTATATTTCTTGAGAATTTCTAGGTGAGAAACAGAACCCAGACGAGAAGTAATTGTAAACGTAGGTGGTAGGTGTCATACCATTTTTGAATCTGGAATTGTAACTACAATTATGTCATCGAACTTTTTGAAATTGACGTTGTGCAAAGTAAGTTTGCATAACTCATCAGAACGGCATGCTCCTGCAATGCCTAAGACCGTCACTACCTTCATTAGCAAATATGTGTTATCAGGTGCCTGAACGAGAAAATCGTTGACTTGTCTTGTAAAAACGTTTGACTTTTTATGTGTGTAGCCGTCATTCTTACGTTTCAAAAATGCTCTCAGCTTGGGATATTTTGATATATGCTCGTTCTCCTCCTATGAAAACAGTTGATGATTAAGTATTCACTCCACAAACTCGCCGGTGACATTAAAGTTTTTGACTTCTTCATGAAATAAGCTACCAGTGACATTTCAGAAAGACCAGTATTTTTGTTCTGGCACCATTCTTTGAAATTTCTCTATGTTCGTCCGTAGCGCACTTTCGACTTTTCGGGCAATATAAATTCGCAGGCAGCATTTGCTGCACTTTCTATTTGAAAATCACTCATTAAGAAATAATAATTCCAAACCAGCAAAATTGCAACTTTTATGTAGTTTTGTTTATAAACACCTTAGAAACGACAAAATCTAAACAACCAAGGCGACTTTGCCAGATTTTGAATAATGTCAAAATGAATTGATTAAGAAATGTCCAAAAATAAAACCTAATCTTTATTTCATGAACCATAAAGAACTGTGGGAGCAGATAAAATGTTATACACCACGCAGCAGTTAAGTATAATTTGTCAGTCTCATACTCTATTTCCAGCCCTCGCTCCGCTCGGGCGTAAAATCGTCATCGACTGGTAAATAATACTTACCTCCTTTATGGTGTAAATAACTATTTACACATCTCTAGAGCCAGACAAGCAATATTGGGTTAAATGGATCCAACCCACCTTCCTTTACCCATGTCTAACTATGATGACAAGCAGTGATGTTACAAAAATTACTCTACACATTCTTAGACCAGACAAGTAATATTTAGTTGACTTTGGCCCTGTCTTGGCTTCAGTTTGCGTTTGCCTGACGAGGCTTCAGCTGTGTTTTATTAACTAGAGCTTCTGTTAGAATTTGAGCTTCCATGTCTGAGTTTCCCTGCCCAAGCTTCGGCTTAGGTTTACCTGATTGAGTTTGTTGCTGTCGGTGCTTCAACCTTGTTTTGTCAACCTGAACTTCTGTTTGAGATACATATTTCATATCGTATCCTCAGTTAGAGTTTCCCTGTCCGAAGTTTGGATTTAGTTTGTCTGTCAGAGGTTCAGTTTGAGTTTTCCTGGCCATGGTTTAATTACACTCCACCAGTTTGTTATTCCGGTTGAGCTTGCCTATCCGAGCCATAGTTTGTGTTTGTATGAGCTTCAATTTGAGTTTTCTGACATTACTGCATGTCACAATAGTTGGACGTGATTAGAATTATGGGGATGGGTATGGGAAGATGGACGTTGGATCCGTTTGGACCAAAATCAACGAAATATTACTTGTCTGGCCCTAGGGATGTGTAAAAAGATATTTTTCTGCCGTTACTACCTGTTACACTAGTTGAATGTGGGTCGGTTATTGGCGGGTATGTAAGGCAGTGGATGGTGGGGGTGGGTCTGTTTGGGCTAAAATCGATTGCATTTAAAAAATTTTTTTCAAATGGGCCGAAAATCGCGCTTAATGACCTTTCTCCTTTGACATTTTCGTTATTCAAGATAACTTTCGGCTAATAAGAAAAAATGTGACTTTTGTATCTACTAAACTGTGAGAAAATTTGAGAAAATTATGACTGTTGCATACATGTGTAGGTAAAATGTTTTTCTTTTATTGAAATTTATTAAACCCATTTTATCTAAAAAAATTGATTTTTTATATAACCTCGGTATTTTCTAATATATTTCTAAAATATAATTGTGACATCCTTATCTGAGAATGCACTAATTAAGAGAAAGGTTCCAGTTTTTTTAATTAAATGAAGTGTTTGAAAGTCTTTCTAGGATCGTAAACTATTTAGAAATTATTTTAGAAAAATTAGTTGTTCTTCCTACTTATTTCTATGAGACGAATTTGCCCTGATTTGACACAATATTATACTTTGTATTAATTATTTTTTTGGAGAAGATCTTCTACAAACTGTTAGTGTTCTGATATAAAAAACTAACTGACCTCGGATACCTAAAAATAACTAAATAGTTGCTCTATCATACTCATTCAAAAAGAAGAATAAAGAATTTGATCTGTCAAATAATATTTTTAATACCTACGTTCTTTCAGATGGTTGTACAAGTAACCAATACTGGTGGTGATTTGGGTTCCAATCATTTTGACATCGCCCTTCCCGGTGGTGGTGTGGGAATATTCACTGAAGGTTGTTCTTCGCAATGGGGATGCCCTAGCAATGGCTGGGGTGATCAGTATGGTGGTGTTGCATCGGAAAGTGACTGTTCTACACTTCCAGAAGTCCTCCAAGATGGATGTAAATTCCGTTTTCAATTCCTACAAGGCGCGTCTAACCCTGGTGTTACCTTTGAACAAGTCGAGTGTCCATCCGAGTTGACATCTATTACTGGCTGTAACTATTCCTAAGTCACATTCCAAGTAAAATATCTGGAATGTGATTTCAATACCTTATTATATAAATACAAAAATATAAATTCCAATTATTGTGTTTAATTTTGTTAGAAAAACTGTTGAGTATTATACAGGGTGTCAGCAAATTTCACCGATAACGTTTGACAGCATATTCACGACGATAAATAAATACGATCTACGAAAAAAAGTTAAATAAAACATTTTTGGTTTTTGAGTTACAAGCCATCAAAGTTGTCAAAAATCGCGTTAAAATTTGGCACTTTTATTTGAACTATTATGGTGTATTATTTCTTGAAGCATTAGTCAAATCGATATACTGGCTGATAGTTTTCTCCGGTTACCTCTCCCTTTTAGCGGTCAAAACTTTTACAGTGGTGTATTTTTTTAAAACGGGCAGGAACATTGAAAAGGTTTGTAATTGCAAATTATGAAAATTTATAACTCCGTTTCTAGTAAAACAAGATTCGTCGGTGCAAAATAATTTTTGAAGCAAATTTTTATCTTCTGCGAAGTCATTCACCAACCAGCGGCAAAATTGTAAACGTGTATTGGGATCTAAATTTTCAAGTTCTTGAGCAGGAGTTAAATGAAATGGCCGAAGATGTTGCTTTTCCAAAGTTTTGTGAACATTAGTTTTACATACATTTAGTTGTCTTGATACACTGCGGACACTTCATAATTTGAATGTGTGGAGTGATGAGAATTCTAAAGAAACACGACAATAATAACATTACCTGGATAGCCACTGCAACGCAAATCAAAACGCACAGACTTGCAAATAATGTCATTTTTCTCATGAATGGCTTTCTGTAGACGATTTTTTCAAGAGACAATATTTTTTTAAATAAAACGACATTTTCAAAGTTATCGATTTGACTAAAATTTTAAGAAATAATACGCCATAATAGCCCAAATAAATGTAACAAATTTTAACGTGATCGGTAAAAGGGTTTTTAATTAAATTAGTTTTATTTTTGACTACTTTGAAGGCTTGTAACTCAAAAACCAAAAACTAATTGTAAAATTCGGAGAGACTCGATTAATTAAGGACCTTAAACAATCTGGCCGTCATTCAGCAAGTTGTTCAATACAAAACATCGAAGCAGTTCATAAGAGTGTTACTAAGAGTTCGGCACCATGGTTAAGAATTGGATATTTCGAGAAGCTCTCTGTAGCGTATTCTCACGAAACATTTGCATCTTTATTTAGTTGACTCAGGAACTGAAGCATACTGACCAAAGTGAAGAGAGTTCGTTAAATGGATTATGGAACAACAAGTGGATGCTGATTTTTCGAACAAAATCATCTTCAGCGATGAGGGTCATTTTCATATTGATGGCTTCAGTAATCGACAAAATTGTCGCATTTGGAGTTCAGAAAATTTACGAATGATTGTTGAGAAGCAAATGCATCCACAACGTGTCACTGTTTGGTATGGATCTTTGTTTGGAGGCATCATCAGACCATTCTTCTTTAGAACAAAAATAATATATGTATTTTAGACAAAGGTAAACGTATACTTATGAAATAAATAAAAAACGTAAAAAAGAGTTAAATATTGCACAGGTCTTTCAAAAATAAGAGATATTTAATCTCGAAATAAGAGAATTATTTTTTAGCTCGCCAAAGTTCAATTTGAGATAAAAAATACTAGATGTAAAGAGAAAATATTATATTATATTACGGAGCTACAAGGTTATGGTATAATGAGGTCTTTAATTCTGAAATTTTTTCCAATCACTGACTGTTCAAGTTAAATTGAAATCTCGAAAACCGCTTTCTAGAGGAGTTTCTTGATGTTACGGTAAAAACACGAACCAGTTCGTGTAAGAGAGTAAAAAGAATTTTAACTTGATAAGCCTGCATCTCGGAAACCGAGAGTTTCTTGATCTATAATGAAACTTTTGTTCTTATTTTGAAAAGTTCTATTATCAGGTAAATCTTGGCGTCTATAATTTGGAACACCTTGTCTATATGAAATAATTGTAAGGAATACATTTTTTTAAAGACAATAAGTCAATATTATTACCTACTTCCAAATTAGCAGAAAGTTTCAGATTTGGAAGTATAGAATACTTTGAGGACTTATCAAATCAAATTGAAGTTTTAAAAGCAACAAATGGAAGATTACTTGCTACGGTTAATAAAACATATTTATTACCTTTTATTAGTAAATATACGCATACGTTTATAATATTCTAGTGAACTGAGTCAATGGAATACCTAAGATAAGGTTAATGGAAAATTTTATCAAAAATTAACCTCAACGTAAATATTGGAATTAGAAGTAACATATCAGTTGGCAAATCCCTTGAACTTGGAATAACACATGAAGTGATATTGATTAGAGTCAAATATTAGAGTGGCTTCTGTTTTTAGATATATTACAAAAAAAAAAACAACCTGAAATAGGTACGTGAAATACATATGTTTTTTGAGTAAAGAACGTTGTAATAAAAACATTCTTTGATATTGATGATGTTTTCTATACTATAAGAAGTGTGTTAGAAAAGGTATATAAATCAAATTTTAAAGTAGTTTGAGAAATAATTCAGAAACGACAAATGTTATCAAATTCAAATTTAGTGTGTGTGCAATAAAACACTAAGTATATGTTAGATGATGATATAAGATTTAATAAAGTGTTAAGTGTATAGACACGTTCATCACGGTCATACTGGCATCTAAACTCTCTAAAATTGGAATTCCAGCAAAGCTAACCGATAACCTTATTAATATGTACTCAAATAGAAAAATACATCTCAAAATCGGAGACAGGGTTACCGAATGTAGGCATTCATCTATTGGATTACCTCAAGGAAGCATTCTGAGCCCCCTATTGTTTATTATATACACTATGGATTTCACAAATTCCCTGGACCACAACGCAAAAGTAATTCAGTATGCCGATGACATCTGTATTTACACACAAAACAAAACAGTCAACCAATGCACCGTCCATCTATCTAAGATTATGGAAGAAATAAAAATATGGACTGATGTCAATGGATTTACCATAGCTGAAAATGCTTGTTCAGTCGCACAAAAATCCAGCTCCAGCCGGGAGCAAAATTGGGGCCCTATGAATTCCCAACAAAAAGTACAGTAAAATAAGGCATATTGTTAGACAGAAAGCTCATTTGGAAAGATCAAATTCAACAAATACTAAAAAGAACACAAAATTCAATCAACATCATCAAAGTATTCACAAAAAATTCCTGGGGGGGCTTATCCCAATATTGCAATCATCTTCTACAAATCCTTGGTACGATCAATAATTATAGATTATGGTAGCATCCTATATGCGACAGCAGCAGATACACATTTAAAAAAAATGAAGTTTTAAAAAACAAATGTCTCCGTTATTGTCTGGGCCTACTAAACAGTACTCCAATATCTACGGTAGAAGTCGAAACTTACGAACCTCCCTTAGAATTAAGACGACAATACTTAAGTGACAGAACTATAACAAGATTAATTTCTAAAGAGAGACAATTCATTAATAGCATACATGAATTAACGACTCTGGATCTGACTTCAAGATACTGGGCCTCCAAAAAGTCTCCCACTCTAGTTAATTCCTACTTAAAGGTTCAGGAACAACTTCCACACTTACACACGGATAAATTAGATAATTATTTTTCTACAAAACTCGAATATTTAGTAACTCCAGTCAAAACGGAATACATTTTCACAGATCGCTCCAAAATAAACAATCATGTAGGGTGCGCCTACTACCATCAAAACACTAAACTGTTCAAAACATTTAGACTTCCAGACACAGCTTCCATTTTCACAGCTGAACAATATGCAATTTTGCAAGCTATGAAATATTCAAATACGCTAAGTAATCCGAACGTGGTAATTTTCAGCGACTGTAAAAGCATAGTTGACAAGTTACACTCAAATGCAGTAAACAAGATTGACAATATCCAAGCGGAAATCCTAACAGTACACAACAAGATGATAAAAAGACACAAAAGCATAGGAATTGTCTGGATAAAAGGACACTGTGGCATAGAAGCCAATGAAATAGTGGACAAGCTTGCAAAAGATGCTGTTACAACAAGCAATTATTCAGACCGAAAGATCGTGCCTCCATCAGATTTGGATGCCTTTTACTTGGCTATTCTAAAGAATGTATGGCAAGATAAATTTGAGCAGAGTCAAACTGGAAACTACTATAAACAAGTTCAACCAATAATACAAAAGAACATTTGGTACCAATCAGTTTCGAATCGCCAGTTTATTAAGACAATATGCCGTATCCGAACAAACCATGGTTTATATCCCAAATACAAACACAAAATAGGCCTTGCAGACAACCCATATTGTCCCTGCAATGAAATCGGAGACCTGCAACATATCTTTCTAGAATGTCCTCGGTATAAGATACATCGCGACAGTTTATATAAGGAATTATCAAAAAATGGGGTAATTTTTCCAGTCAACATTCCCTATCTACTGACCACCCAAAACATAAACATTTATGACAGCCTTTACAAATACATCAAGAAGTCCAATCTTGAAATTTGTGTCACAGCGGTCAGTGAACTGTTCAAATTGTAACCATCAGAACACAATATGTATAATTATATAATATACATTAAACAAAAAAAGAAAAAAAAGTAAAATAAGTAAAACAAAAAGGAAAACTCCACCTCAAACTTGCCCTCTTAATATTATAAAAGATAAATAAATAAATAAATAAAAATAAAAATTAAAATAAATAATAAAAAAACAATAATAACACTTGAGTTCCATTTGAGTTCAATTAAATCAATAACATTAGGATTTAAGCATAGAATGGTGAGAAACATTTTGAGAATAAAGAAAGTAAATTTAGAGCATTGTGTAAAGACCGGAAAAGTAAAATTATGGATAGGAAAAAGAAATCAAGCATTTAATTAAAAGCAAATACGCTCTGGCTAATTGGTATGTGTTTCAATATGGCTAAGCTGGCAGGAAGCAAACCGTGATTTGCAGGTACCATGAAAGCAAAACCTGTGTAGTCATTAAGTGAAACAATTTTTAATTGATGAAGAAATGGGAAACAATTACTTAGTAGGACAATGCCTCTATCCGCAACATCTAGTAAGCAGGTAGGATTAGTTGTCAGCAGAACCAGAAGACAAATACCGGTTTTCATCGGTGGTAATGTAAGTGAGGTGGTTCTGCTGACGGATTGTCCTAGCTGATTACTAGATATTGCGGTTATAATTAAATATTAATTTCACAGATGCGCGTGAATAATAATGTACTCTAACTATAATCAACAAATTCATCTAAGCATATATAATGACATATTACGTTATTAAAAAAAAACATGGAAATTACATTTATTATTATTGTTGGTACATACAAGTGTGCTATTATAATACACGTGTACGTATCTTTCAAAATTATATTACTAAATTTACTATTTAAATTAAATATATTTTAAGAAATACAATTTAATGTACAAGTATATTTTTGAGATGGCAATATATTCAGTTAAGTTGGATAAAAGTTACAGTTACATTTAGAAGAAGTATAACACAAGGCAAATGGCTATTGAAAATATAGAGGTCGTGTGTAGCAAAAAATAATTGCCGGGATCAGCATTATGAGAGAAATTACTGACATATTTAAAATTTATGACAAAATGTGTGGTTGAGTAACAACAAGCGTAGTGGACGATTCCTTTACATTTAGTGAAATAATTAATAATTTTTTACTTTGGATCTACTGATTTTCTATAGTAAGAGGTAAGTTTACAAATGTGATTTTAGCCAGTGTAATGAAAATCCACATATTGTAGGAAATTTAGGTATCACGCAAACAGGTCCGGCTATATTTGTATCATATTTTCGTACAGTATTGTTTGAAAATATAGGAAAACACTAGAAATTATAGATCACAATGATTGCAATGATAATATAATCAATGTAAATGGCTCATCTTTATATTTTTGTACTTAATTCATACTTTAATGCAGCTTGTAACCATTGTGTGGCCTTTTTTTACTCACCTGATTTTAGTGAAAATTTCTTTTTCGTGTGCTTTTATACTTTATTTCAAAATAATCATCTCATATTAAGGTCTGAGATACTAGTTGAACTTCTTGTTAACAAACGGCGCCGTTAGAGCATCACGACTATTAACCAATTTCATTTCATTCTTATAAATGTACCTACATATATGTTTTTAAATTGTTAGTTAAATATTGAATTCATATGAAAATTAGAAAATATGTGTGTATAAGTTTTTTGCGTCATTATTACATTTTTTAATAATATGTGTAAAGCTGCGACACAAATGAAAGGGGGCACTGGTCTTTGGATTATCAATATCAAAACAGCTTCATCAAAGTTATTTTGTCCTCGTGATTTCTGCTCTACTAAATATGCAAGTATAATATACTATTAATTTCACTATTTTAAAAAAAAAACAGGTATATTTCGAGCTCAACTACGTAAATTTCATGACACACCTTTCAAAGAAGTGCCAAGCGTGTTACAAAATTTGTAGAAGATAAGAATTTTGTATTTATACATCAACGACAATAATTAATTTCATTCACTAGCAGATTTATCTAACCGCACGTTGAAAATGAAGCTTCTGTTAGTTACCCTTGTTGCGCTTTGCACAGGTAAGTAAAAACAATTTTTTATCGATTTTCTGTAGTGTTATTTCTGGTATGTTGCCAAGGTATGCATATGGACGAAAAAATTCTTGAAATAATCCAATAGCACCGTTTTCTTTTTCTGGGCGTACTGTGAAATTAAAATTACTGCCTACTTTTTTATTATTACAGCGTTAACCACAAAATACAAAAGATATATTATATTGCAGAAGCAATTGTGCGTATCGATATTTCATATCAAAATCTAATAATGTAAATTTTTTACCATATGTACCTACTTTCTACCTACATTGTATATCAAAAAATAATTACAATTGATCAGAATAATAGTTTAGATATAAATAAAGGTGCCGGACTAGATAAATTATCTCTTTCGATTTTCAAATAATGTGTTTAAGCTAGGTATATTGTACTCTTTGTTTAAAATTTGTAGTGAATTTATATTATGATATAATTAACTATTGTCTTTATAACATTTTCTGATTTATTCTATTATAGTACAAGGGTATTTATCTGATCTCCATAATGTGAAACCAGTTCACAATGGTGTAAGAGGCACTAGCAGAACAACTCGTTATTGGGACTGCTGCAAGCCATCGTGTTCGTGGACTGAGAATTTGAGAGACAAATCTGGCGCTCCTGTAAAATCTTGTACAAAAGACGGAAAAACTCAAGCTGATCGAAACATGCAATCTGCCTGTGGAACCGGCACAGGTTCTTACATGTGCTCTGACCAGCAACCGCGTATGGTTAATTCGACATTTGCTCTGGGATACGTAGCAGCTTCGTTCACTGGTGGTATAGATACCAAAATGTGTTGTGCCTGTTTACGTCTTGTTTTTCAGGGTGGTCTTTCAGGCAAACAGGTATGTGTCATATTGAAGTAGACTTACTAGTTATTCAGGTTTTTTTGGCCGGCTATACACTAATTTGATCTTATTTATTAACAACTTTAGTAAACGTACTTGATCTTTTCTACAAGTAAATCTGAAGTATTAATACTGACAGAGAGCGACCTACTAATCTGTAGTTGCTGTTTCAATAACATTAGTTAAAATCTTTATTTCATCTGGTACGACACTAGTCTTACTTTCATAGTATATACAGATTAGTAGGCCAATTAGTACCATTGTCAGCATTGAGTAGCAGTGACGTTTATGATTTAACACCATTTGCGGGTTATATCTCACCCACGCTCAAAACATGTCCATAGAGATTCAAAAAGCTAAATCATGCGTCGGTTGTTTCACCTGATGAGAAATAAGTTCGAAACAAATTCTTTTTTGTGATTTGAATTCAATCGACTTGATTCATGCATTTGAATATTGTAAACCCATGGACCAATTCCTCCAAAACAGATGGATACTTTACATATAATTGATAGAATTTGTCTAGCTACGAATTTTAGTTCAACTAAGATCATGTTGCTTCATATTTTACGTTACCGGCCCCAACTCAGGAATAGGTCCGTCTGATTTGATCCGGAACATCGAATTAATTAAAAAGTGGTTTAGTGTATGGTCGGCCAAAGGCCTTAACTTGTATGTTGAATACTATATTTTTCCATGACTTGTACCAAATTTGATTAAATTTGATGAAACCGTTTCCCAGATATTTTAAAAAAATTGTTTTATTTTTGTGAATGTCAACGCCTTGTATTTCCTAAACGGTGTTTTTCTGCGAATGTTCATAGAACAAAGTGATGTTAATTTTTGTTGTTTAGGACTTTCCCGAAGTTTGTCTACTAAAAACTGGACCACCCTGTATAACAATAATTTGCTTTAAATCAATAACAAAAATCATTTACAACCGTCTTTAAAAACGAAAGTACAATTTGAGAAGGAACCTTTAACAGTAACACTAGAAAAACTACCTAAATTTTTTTTGCCATCGAATAAATGTTATTCATTTTCCCTCACAGTCAATTCCGAAAAATTGCCGACACTAGTTCTTTCGACTCCTGCTATTAAACGAGATATTTTGTTCTTGGGCGTTATGCTATCTTCTACATATCCTGATGCTACACTATGACTCTTTCATTTTCCATATTTTTTCAATGTCATCATATCTGCATCTGCATCTACGAGAACAGTTGCCGATGTACGAAGCAAACAATGTGCTTCTCTAATAAATTTCAAAATATCCTCTCTTGTCAATACCTTAAATTTTTTGGAATATATCCCTTCGATATTTGCTTCAAATAAGCCTCTAATCGCTGAAATTATCCTAAATTTAGTTTTCTGCGCACTGATAATGCAGTCTTCAACATTGAATACTTTGTCGACGATGTGTTAGGACTGAATGATTCTGACTAAAAGATATATAAAAAATATAAATGATCAAAAATGATAAATATTTCTTTTAAGTGATAAAAGGTAATACACATAAATTCTTGGAAATATCCTATTAATATAGTTTCACTAATAGCTGTCACTGAATTTCTGCTTATCCAAGTCTAAAAACGTTTATATTCTTTGTGATAAAGTAATTTAGATTTCTTAGGCAGTAACTCTTCCTTGGCTTTATTGGCTCTAGCAGCAACTATCTCTAGAATATTATCCATTCTGCATTTTCAATATGTCTCCTCAGAATCAAATATCAAACTATCAAAATCAACAAATTTACATCGTTTATAATATTGAAAAACTGTTTTCATTCTCATTTACATTTAATTATTAAATTTAAAATAAATATAAAATCAGATGTCTAAGTAAAAAATAAAGCGCTGTATGCATCACGGGAGATACTAGGATGATTATGCCCTTAGGCGACTTGCGCCTGCGGGCATAATCATCCCTGTATCTTTCTTGGTACATAAATAACTATTTTGGATACATAAACATCGCAGATCACTACCAAATATGTGGAAAATTGACAATTAACAATTGTCTTGACTTGGATTACAAAAATTAAGGAATAGTAATTCATTCATGAAAGATAAATAAATTATTTAAATTTGAAATAGATAAGTGTGAGTCTATATTTATAATTCTCGGGAAAGAGTAAAGACTTAATAATCTCACAATCCTTTTATTAAGACGACTAGTTTCGAGGTCTCGAGTGTAGATCTCGAAACTAGTCGTCTTAATAAAAGGATTGTGAGATTGTTAAGTCTTTACTCTTTCCCGAGAATTATAAATAAATTATTATTTACCAAATGCATACCTATATAAACTTTAAATGATAATTTTCAGATGGTCGTACAAATAACCAATACTGGCGGTGACTTGGGTTCCAATCATTTCGACATCTCCATGCCGGGTGGTGGTGTGGGAATATTTACTAAAGGGTGTTCTTCTCAATGGGGATGTCCTAGCACGGGTTGGGGAGACCAATATGGTGGTGTAAGATCCGAACATGATTGCGCCAAACTTCCTACCGACCTGCGGGAGGGATGCAAATTTCGTTTTCATTTTATGCAAGGAGTGTCAAATCCTGACGTCACTTTCGAACAAGTGGAGTGTCCATCAGAAATCGTTTCAATTACTGGTTGCAAATATTAATTTATATAGGATGTAAGTTTATGTAGTATGTTCATAAAATAAATAAAATAAAAAAACTGTTACACAATGCAATAGTTGTTGTACTGACATATATGGATCTCTGTAGCATATTATAACTAACTAGTTTATTTAAAGGTTCTTACAAAGTTTTTGAACAAAATTTAATTTGCACACCTTAATTTGCTTAATTGAGCAACATTTTTCTATTTTATTTTCATAAAAAGATATCAACAACCTCTCAACAATGTACTTACGCTACTTTCAAAGTGAAAAAAATGTCGCTGAAATAATCGATATATTCTAAATTGACTATTTTCAACCAACCAACAAGTCAGCTCCTTCATTGCCTATGACCAGGAACCTTAGTCAGTTATACACGATTATTCCGCACTAACAAAAATTAAGACATTGAACAGTCCAGGACCACGCAGGAAGTGATCTTGTAGGACAAAAGGGTGCGTGTACAAGCCGAGATCGGGATGCCTCAACTTCGAAAGCCTTGGTAGACTTCCTCAGAGCATAAAACAAATTCATCTCTGATCGTATGCCGTACATTAATAATAATTTATCACCCAGAAACTCTACCGTTCTTGATTTTGGATGTTTTTTTTTAATACCGTCGCCTTCTGAATTCAACTGTTCTGTTTTCTGGCACATAAACAAGTTTAAATTAATCCTTCCACACACCAATTCTCTTTGTGGTTGTATAACATAACAAGGCAAACTTATACTGATATAAGTTTGCGTAAAGATTCCCACTCGTTGTAACTCTAGAGGAGGCCGTCGACCAAGAAGTATCATGCGCATGTATACAGGGTGTTAGAATTTTGACTGACCTAATTTTAACAGATGATAGAATACATTAAAATAAACAAAAAAACCTTATATGACCTGGGTCCTAAACTCAACCATTTCCGAGAAAAAATTATCAAAATCTCCAACTTGATGTACAAAAGTTCGATTAATTAAGGAATATTGACAAAACTGCGTTCTTAGAATACCATAAAATACAAAGTATCATTTTTTTGAATTTCTTTTTGCTTAATTCTAAAAAATAATTACAGTTGTAATAAATTTAAAATTCGATTGAGCAATGTGACAAAAACGCGGCGGATAACACAAGGTACTAAGCTGTCCAGCATTACACAATTCAGTTGGTATCTGGAATTGAACCGTGTCTGAGTGTCCTTTGCTTACACTATTTCCTTTTCATGAGGTGTTTTCCAGCGAGTGTACAAAAATTGGATTCGAAGGTGTCGTGCGTACATCGAAAATGGTGATGGACATTTTGAGCATATGTTGTAGTTTATTTCGTACTTGTGCGTTTAAAAATTACTTAATTTTGCTTTTTGATAAGTACCTAAATTATTTTTAATACATATGATTATTTGGATGACGAGGGTACTTTAATTACATATTTTTCAAATTCATAATTTGATTAAAAGTTCATGTTTTTAGCGATTCGTAATTAAAACTTAAGCACAACACTATCTTCGTACTACAAAATCGATACATTTTATTTTATTTATTTAAAAATTGGAAAATAATTGTGTTGAAATTTACTAAATGTTTCACAATAATAGTTGTTTACATTTTTTCCGTAGGACAAGTCTGCCGCGTGCACACGTGGTATGCACCAGCTGTGTAGTGTTAGGTTAAGCGCTGTTGTCACATTGCGATGAAACTCCCCAATATTAATACTCGCTGCTGTTAATCTTTCGCCCCTGTAATATACGACTTTTTTGTTCATTTATGATTACTCTGTCTCATGCTGAAGTAATGGCAGTCAAACTTCTTACACCCTGTATACCATTAGCGTTTATCTTGGATTTCTTTTAAAAAATTACGTTCGAAAGTATCGTGTAAAAAAATACCCTGACGAGTATCAAGTGACAGAAAATATGTATAAGTGTTGATCTCATAATTTTTCTCATTCGCCATAGGCCCGACCGTTAAATTGTTTATCCTTGCTCGTTATACAATCTATTATTTTTTTTATCTATGACAGATGGTTATCAGATAATGTCTGGAAACGATTTTGTACTTATATAATATAAAAGCTAATTGAAATATTTTTAGTCGATAACACTCTGATATTGATCTATGTTGAGCACATTATTTTTTTTTAGTGATTTGATTATAGGCATTATTAAGCCACGTGCCACTTCTGTAAACATTTCATCTTCTTTTTGTACTTGTATCTTATATAGGGTAGTATTAACGGGGCCCTTAATAAATCGGAACAGAGGATGTAGGCAGGCCCATAGTTTTATGCATATGTAGGTACTTCATTTTTGTTTTTTTGAATTTTCGCGGTCGCCAATCGATTATTATTTGCCGCAGTCGAGAGCACTGCTCAATGCATTTTACAGTGAGTTTTTAATATTAATTTTATATACTTTTTGGTAAGAAACTTACTTTACTACCTTACTACGTTGTTACATGATAGTCACCTATTTAATTAATGTTAAGAGTGATTTTTGTTAATTTTCAAAATTTATTTGCATAGTTGCATTAAGGAATTTGTTTATGATCTCATTGATTCTCGAAAAAGAATAACTTTAACATAAACACTGAGTGATTTTAAGTCTGGTTAGTCTGATTATTTAGTGAGAGCTAGGTGTATACCGTAAAATTCGTTGATTTTTGTCTAAATTTTGATTTGTTGATTTTCTTATTTTTTATTTATAACCTTCAATACCGAAATAATACCGGGATTCCGGGATTCTCCGCGGTCGAAATTATAAAGAGTGATTCAGACATAATATAAAAACACTATTACCGTAATGCGTATAAAATATAACATAATTTTCATACGGTTCAATATTATTTATCTTTGTGCCGCTCGCTACGCACATCGATAGAATCTATAATCGTCTATAGACTGAGTTACACTGAACGTCGATCTATATTCTATCTCTGTTTTTTGCACTTGGTAGGGAATAGGTAGCTTTTTTAGTTGGGTGTAAACGGACTTGATTTACGAGTCCTGAGAAACTAGAGGTGTCTAATTCCATGGCTATAATAAATTTATAAATTAAAAAAACACAACTGGGACGTTTTAAAATGCTATGATAATTAAAATGGATCAAAGTGCCGGTTATAGCAAACCGTAAAAAAATTAGATGTTATGTTTTATTTTCTTTTTTAAATATTTTCTATATCTTGTTGCCTTTTACGCAGACACGCCAATGGATTTTCGTTCCCGGCACGCTTCATCCCCCTTACTAGCCCAAAAACTAGCGATTAGTCACTCTCTATAATTTCTGCCGCGGAGTATAAGTCTAATCCCGAAATCCATATTAGAAATAAGGGCCGGGATCGAATTCCCTAAGTGGGATGGAGGTCTACCTAGGTGGTAAGAAAGTGATAGCTTCTGAGCCTTACAACAGTATTCCAAAATATAAGTGCGTGTTTGAACAAAGCAGCACAGTAAGCAAATCTACATATATTCCCCGTTAGTTAGACTGCAATAAAGAACTAAAACTCAAACTGATGTCACACTCGATATGTAGGGAAAATGATAGACGAGAATATCAGAAGGTTTTGGAGAAGGTAAATCGGGTCCAAATATGTAACAGATAAATTCAAAATTTTATGAAGAAATTATTTTATTTTTAGGTTTGTTCCTTTGAGTACTGTATTACAACATAAATCTCTAAATTTATTTTTCGATTTTGAAACGGTGTTGTGAAATAGTGAAATAAAAGGTAAAAATAATAAAGTTATTATTATCTCGAATTAAATACAATTCATTATAATAATTAGATGTCAGCAACTCAAAGAAGATAAAGTAAAATTAGAGACGGAACGGATTAAGGTAAAAAGTTTTAATATGTTTTAGGTCGCCAGAGACTACAGACTTCCCAGGACTTACAGGAGGTGGAATCCGTAGAATTAAGGACTTTCTTTTCATTTATAGCAGACGTATTTTTTGTATTAAACTTTCTTTATTTAATTTAGCGCCTTGCTGTTTAAAGCATCAATCCCAAACTTTTTTCAGGGCTTCGGCACGACATTTTCCCTGGCTGAAATAGGGTGGTGACAGCGTACCTGACCTCCTAAGGGTATTTATTTTCTAACGCCTCTCAGTTAAAATTAATTATTTTTTATCAAATTACGAGACCATAAAATGACAGTTTGCTGAACTAGCAAATACCAACACACTTAGGCCGGGTTGGACGCAAAACATATAGGCATCGAATGAAACGGAAAAGCAGAAGAAGCTGTAAGATGGATCTGAAACAGTTTTCCTAGGACCACAGCCAGCCAGTTATAGTGCCGTAAGAGGGAAATAAGTGAAACGAAATTACAGGAGTTTTAGCAGAGTAAGAAGCCTTCTACAATATGAAATTAGTACAGATATAATATTTTTAAATTTTAAAAAAATTTACTTTTTTGGCTTGCCGCGGGCTATGCTTGCAGTAAATAGCAAGTATGGGAACGTAAATGTAAACGAGTTATAGAAGAAGAGAAAAGAGAAGATTTTTAACGGTTTTTTCGATATATCTCGAAAAGTAACAAAGCAATCGATACTTACAAACAATCAGTCGATAGATATTTTTAAAACCTACAACTTTCTCATTTAAAATTTTTCGATCGGTGCTATATATTTTTAGTTATTTTAGAGAAACCGTTTTTTGCAAATTTGCGATTTTTTTTAACCATGTTCGCCATTTTGGATCGAGTTTAAAGAACAAGAAACTCGATTTAAAATTTAATTTTCTATACGGTTATATTTTTTTTGTCCGGGTAATAATTTCTGTAAGCATTTCTCTATAACGCTTGGACTATATGTGAGAGCTTTGAATGTCTGAGATTCAGTCTCATTGGCAGATCTTTATTAAATACAAGGAAATTAAGAAAACTTTTTGATATTTTACAAAGAATAAATGAGCTTAAGATATATGTTAAGGAGTAGCTGTCACAATAGGTCAGAAATGATCTTAGTAGTTCGGGAGTCTCTGTCCTATAAATCAATATAAGAAGTAATTAATAAGAGTTTTAGATTTTATAAATATGACGACTTTGACACCAGCAGCTTGAAATAAAAGAAGATAGACCAATAGTTCATAGGAAAAATCATCTTATTTTCTAAAAGTTCAAACTTCTTATACTTATAGTACGCATTTCTAGAACAGTCTCTATGAAACATTGTTTCTAAAAAATAATGTATTATTTTCCTCTAAAGGAGTTGTAACAAAATATCATTATGGCATATTATATTTTAAATAATAATTGTGAATTGAAAATTTTTGTTAATGTAGGATTATTAATTCTGCTGAGCTTATACGTAACTCTGCAACGAGTAGGTGTACGCTTCAGATTTAATTTAGATTAATGGAATGTTTGTTAGGTTTTATTGATCTCATTAAATATAGTTAAGAGGTTCCATTCGACATAAAGTACCTACACATATTTGCGCTCCAGATAGGTTCAATTATTTACCACTTTTATTAGAATTTCCATGTTCCGTATTTATGTTGTGTAGGCGAAAAGGAAAACATAGTAGTAAACATGTAATTTGCATGATTTATTAATATTAAGTACAACATTTAATAAATATATTGCATATATTATACTGACTGATTTGAAACATATTATTTCAGAAAATATACACCGATATTACCTATGTAACACAGATAGATTTAAATGTTAAAACAACAAAGTTTAAATGGTTATACTTAGGTAAAATGCATGTGATATGACATTTCGCATTTTCTTACAAAACTAGACGATGATATACTGGTACGTTTGGTTCTCTCTGGTTGCTCAGCAGCTGAGACAGAGTATAAAAGTCGTTTTTGTTGGGTCCGTTCAAATATCTTATTTCCCGTGTTGGATCATTGGTGCGTTTCTTGGAAACCTGGAACAAAACAAATATTATCTATAATATTTTTAATGGGGATGGTATTTTTTTAAGAAAAAGTAATAAAGATCCATAGAAATACAGTTCATCTCAATGGTAAATATCTATACAGGGTGTCCCAGAATAACCTGTACAACGGAAGACCACAGATTCGTGAATTAAATAAGGCAAATCTAGGCTAATTCACCTATATCCAAAATCGTTTAGTTTCGCCGCTAGATGGCCTCAAAGTTGGTGAAAATTTTTTGAATTTTGTAAATAACTCGAATACCTTATTATTTGATTATTTTTGGGGTGTGGACTTTTGCTTTCTATCTACACATTTTGGTATTATACTTACAACTCCTACAAAATTGATGTGTGGTGATAATATCCGTTCATAACTCTTTCCTCTTTCAGGCAATAATGACAACTATTTTTTATCTGATAGGTGATACTATTTGGAGGTTTTTGGGCCTCATGTAGAATTTTGATTAAATGAGCGGTTTGGGTATAAAACAATTTTTCTAAATGTACATTATCGTTCCACCCATATTACAATACTTAACAAAGTGCTAGTAGGCACTGATTTTGTAGGTTGACTGAAATTTCTGTCTGACTTTTAAGTCATTGTGCCTGACAATTCTTAATAAGTGTTTACGACGATAAGATATACCACCTGTTACTTCATTTTTCGATATGGATACACACATACGACGTTAGAGTAGAGTAGAGTTATTTACAATGTGTCTAATTTTATTCAAATAATTAGAAAAGACAATCAAATACAACGCATTAATAGCATTATTATTGTCCCTGTTATTCTACCCCAGTGGTGGCTCGTGACATTGAGAACAGGTGAAGCATATTCATTGACTGACTAAAAAGAAAATAAAAGCGGCGCAGGCGAAAATTTTCTAATTTTCAAGGTCAAACGGCTTTAAATGAATCTGGAAATATTTAGTTGCATTTGCAATATCGCCGAAAAACTAACGTTCGTGAGAGGGATATTTATTTCGTAGATTTTTATAAAAAATAGAAATATTAGTTCGGCTTGCGGACTTCTGCGAACATTAACGCACACCGTACATGTATGTTCCAAAGAAGCTTTGTGGTTACGACAACCTCGCGTGACGTTCCCAAAATTGTTAAATCCTTCCTTACACGCCCAACTTTACACCCACAATTAAACACGGCATATAGAAAAGTTTTTTAAATAAACACTTCCACATAGCCACTTATACTCCGATTACCATTCATTCGGAAACTTCCGAACGTACACATTGTCGTTTGACTTCCCCTTTTTTCCGTATCGAGAGAACGAGAGAATAAGGCACAGGTGTCTCACAATTTAAAAAATCCTTTTTGTCCTGAATTTTCCATCTGGAAAATGGCGTTTTCAATCAAATATATACTGGGTCATACATAGGAAACATTTCTACAATCATTATTATACAAAACAAATATTAACTAAGAACCGTTATAATGATGCACTGGGCGACGCGTATCGTATAAACTGTTTAAAGGCAGGTGATGGGGGATGACAATGCCGTTTCAATATCCGCGTCACTTGTTCCCCCACGCCGTAGTTTACTCCCGTGTTGGCCGCCTCGTTGCCATGACGACCGCGGTAAACAATGCTTCGAAGAGAAGCAAAATACAGACTGATTTCAATCTGCGTCACTTGAGTATACTATACATTGTATAGTACGAGGTTGATGTTCGCGCTCAGCGAAGGCAATGTTTTTTTAGAAGACGTTCATCGCGCAACTATTCTGTTTATTTCTGCGTATTAAACAAACAAATACAATACATTTTCAATATAGAATGATACCTAAATTATAAAATTTATATAAAATTAAAAATAATTTTAAATTGCACAACCAAACGGAAATTTTAGGTGAAGCGGTGCGTTACTTGCGTCACCTGACGAGCCGCCACTGTTCTACCCATTAGACTAAATGGGGAATTTTATTTAGAATTTTTGCAAAACACTTTACCCGAGTTATTGGAAGGTGTGCCGCTTTTACTCAGAGCTAACATGTGGTTTATGCATGATGGAGCTCCACCACATTTCACTGTAAGTGTCTGACAGTATCTGAACCAAAGATTACCTCGTTGATGGATCGTGATAATGCTCCTGTTAACTGGCCTGTACGTTTACCAGACTTAACACCTTGCGACTATTATCCTTGGCTACTCTGAAAACAACAGTGTATGCTTTCACATCTAACATTGAAGATATTTTGTGGAGGCATATCCTAATTGCCATAAATGTTTTAAAAAAATGCCCTAAATAACTGCAAAGGGTGACCTTTTAACTTTCTTCACTGAATTAACTTTTGTTGTAGAAACGACGGTGGTCATTTTGAACAGTTTTTATAGTTGTACTAAATGTGATATATCTTATACTCATTAAGTTATATCACTTTAATTGGCAGGTATGTACAATGACAAAGGACAAACTGAAATTACAATCAATACAGGGTGTCCGGTAAGTACCTCCTAATCTCTCGGGAGTGTATAGGGGAGGTCAAAATAAAACTAGTCCTTCATATAATTTTTTTTCCTAATGTGCCCCCTAACGGAGTTATGGGGGGTCAAAGGGGTACCTAGAAATTAACGTTTAGGGTTATAACTTTGAAACCACCCTGTATATTTTAATAAAATTTTCGTACGTTGTATTACACATGGAGCTCTACGATTTGATGCTAAAATCAACTTTTTGCTATTATCAGGTGTCCAGAAACGGACTGGCCCTATCACAATTTTTCTCAAAATTTTGACAGAAGTAATTTTATCAAACTGAAAATATTATTATTAGATACTCTGAAGGTTTTTCTTTAAAAATGGTACTCTTTATTTATTTCGAAAAAATGAACGGTTTGCGAGATAAATCGGTTTTGAAAAAAATTGGTAACAAATACAACAATTAAAATTTATTTTTTTTACATATTATTTCATGCATTTAATTTCTTTAACTTTATCAAGTCCAGAAATCTTTGAACGGGTTGGCTATACTTTATGAGCAAGTAGTGACCAATTAAAAATAACATTTGAAAAATAACTTACTTACAAGACATGCAACAAAGAACATTCAACAATGAACAAAGGTACCTAAATGTTACTTCGGTAGATGTTCAAAATGAGCACCCCGTACTTCAATGCACTTTCTAATCCTACGAATGTTTTCCCGGTGCACTTGAAATAATATTCCGTGATTATTGCGGAGATGGTCACAGTTCTGTGTTAGCCTCAGCAGAAGTTCCTCTCTACTATTTACGGGTGTTGAATAAACGTTATTTTTTAAATGACCCCACAGAAAAAAGTCTAATGGGTTTAGGTCGGGCGACCTAGGTGGCCATAATACAGGTCCGCCTCGACCTATCCATCGATCACCAAAAACATTCGTCAGATGTTGACGTACTAAACGATCAAAGTGGGGTGGTGCACCGTCATGCATGTACCACATTTCAGTTCTTATTTGAAGGGGCACTTCTTCTAACAAAATATTTAGATTTTCCTCTAAAAATTGCAAATAAAGAGCACCATTAAGTCTTTGCTCCAGAATAAATGGACCAATCAAATGATTCCCGATAATGCCAGCCCACACATTCACCATAAACCTTTGTTGGTAGCGAGTTTGAACTAAAGCGTGAGGGTTTTCTTCATCCCAGACATGTAGATTATGCGAATTAATTATGCCGTCTCTTGTAAAACCTGCTTCATCGGTGAACAAAATAGATGTACCAAAATTATGATTCCGAATATGATGCTGTAAAAACCAATTGGCGTATTGAAGTCTTTTTGGATAATCATCTGGAGACATAGCATGTACTTTTTGGATGTGGTACGGGTAAAGCAATTGTTCTTTCAGAGTTTCATGTACAGCCCATTTTGTAACATTGTTTTGCGCCGCAAGCTTCCTTATGCTATTTGAAGGATTATTAGCAACGTCTTCCAATATTTGTTCCTCTACATGAGGGTCTCGTACTCTCCTCGGGGCTCCTGCTCCACCACGGCGTGGCAAAAAGCTTCCTAAATAAAGGATTCGGAAGAAATTAGTTTCACTAACGTTTTTCACTATTTTTTTTTACCTGTTTCTCTTAAACTACGATCAACTCTTTCAAAAGTTTTTGGACTCGGCAAATGTCGACCCGGAAACCTTTCCTCATAAAGTCTTCTTGCCTCCACGGAGTTGCATAATGCTTCCCCATAAATTAGGTGCATATCAGCATATTCTGCACAGGAATATTCTTCCATTTTTAAATGTTATTTCTAACGGCTTAAAACGAATACCACAATAAAATTGAATTTTTATTCTGTCACGCGCCTTTGACAAGTACTTTAAAATCAACAGGGTCTAACAACGAAAACAATAGAAAAGAACTCCATGGAGACAAGAGCAATAATAATTTGTAGATGTATTTTGGTCATAGATGTTGATTTTACAAGAAACGGCATTATTCATTCCCTTAATTCACCACCAGTAAATGTTTATGGTGAATCTGTAGGCTGGCACTAGCGGGAATGATTTTATTGTAAAAAAATAAATTTTAATTGTTGTTGTATTTGTTACCAATTTTTTTCAAAACCGATTTATCTCGCAAACCGTTCATTTTTTCGAAATAAATAAAGAGTACCATTTTTAAAGAAAAACCTTCAGAGTATCTAATAATAATATTTTCAGTTTGATAAAATTACTTCTGTCAAAATTTTGAGAAAAATTGTGATAGGGCCAGTCCGTTTCTGGACACCTGATAATAGCAAAAAGTTGATTTTAGCATCAAATCGTAGAGCTCCATGTGTAATACAACGTACGAAAATTTTATTAAAATATACAGGGTGGTTTCAAAGTTATAACCCTAAACGTTAATTTCTAGGTACCCCTTTGACCCCCCATAACTTCGTTAGGGGGCACATTAGGAAAAAAAATTATAGGAAGGACTAGTTTTATTTTGACCTCCCTATACACTCCCGAGAGATTAGGAGGTACTTACCGGACACCCTGTATATAAAATCAGTGCCTACTAGCACTTCAAGTACCTACTGTAATATGGGTGGCAAGATAATGTAGACATTTAAAAAATATTTTTTTGTACCTAAACCGCTCATTTAATCAAAATTCTACAAGAGGTCCAAAACCTTCCAAATAGTATCACCTATCAGATAAAAAATAGTTGTCATTATTGCCTGAAAGAGGAAAAAGTTATGAACAGATATTATCACCACACATCAATTTTGTAGGAGTTGTAAGTTTTAAAAAACACTGTATAACACCAAAATGTGTAGATTGGAAGCAAAAGTCCACACCCCAAAAATAATCGATTAATACGTATTCGAGTTATTTACAAAATTCAAAAAATTTTCACCAACTTTGAGGCCATCTAGGGGCCAAGCGAAGCGATTTCGAATATAGGTAAATTAGCCCAAATCTGCCTATTTTGAGTCCACGAATCTGTGGTCTTCCGTTGTACACGTTATTCTGGGACACACTGTATAATATACTATAAGACTTGCTATAGACAATGTAAGGTTCCTACGTGTTTTTCGCACTATTCAGAACCTACGGCTGGCAAAAAGGCGTTTGCTACCTTTACAGATATGGGCATAAAATGAAACAATATGGCAATCGTATTTCTTTATTTTTGCATAAAATAATTATTTAACTCAATTAAAAAAAATGTAAAAGTAAAACAAATTTGGAGGCCTGATTTAACGTGCTAGACTATGCCACAGTTACGCCATCTATTAATACGAAGCTCAACTAAAATCTTATACCACTGCCCTTTCATTTAAAGTAATAAGAAGTTTTCTCGTAACATAGTCCAGTATGTCACAAGTCAATACCAGTGAAGTACAATTCGATTAAAATTTTTAAAAGCAAATACAAATTTATAGATACAGTTCGTATATTTCATTTATAGATTAGTAAGTACTTATACATTCTGAAATATTGTGAAAACTAATTTAAATTTAATTCAATTACCTACTTGTCTTTCATTACACATGCCGATAAGATTTTAACCTAATTATATGAATATACTTTCCCAAAGTAGTATTTTGGTGAGCTAAATTCGAGAATCCGAGGTATAAATTTCTCAATTGGCTCTGGTTTTCGAGATATCCTAACCTAAATGTGCCAAAATCGCGATTTTTTCATATATTTGAGATTATGTTACACGAAAAGGTTTTTTTTTGCTGACCATTAGTCTTAAAGTACTTACTTATACTTATTCTTTAAAACGCATTTGATTTATCGCGATATCATTTTTCGTCTTTGAGAAATAGCATGTTGAAATGTAGCAGTTTGTCACACTTAATTTTTTGTCTGTCAAATTTGGTGATTAAATGAGAAAAGAAAATGTAAGGTATGACGTTATTTCTCAGAATTTTGTAAAACAAAGAGAAAAGTGGTTACATTTTCAACATAGAACAATTTCAAGATCCCTAATATATTTTTTGGAATGTTTATATATAATTTTAAAAACAGTAAATTAGGTCATGTGATGTGACAACGGGTAGATTTGTTTAATTTATGTTCTCTTCAGTTTTAGATTTTTCATTAGGTTAAAATAAAGACAACCGTCGTAAAGACAACCCCTAACTGATTCTTTAGAAGCAAGGGTTGATTTAATAAATTTTAAATCCTTTCAGAAGTGGCAAAATAGGCACCCATATAAGTAAAGAAAGAAATGTTGATCTTACCATGAATCGTTTCTTTCGATTGTCTCCAAAACCTCCCCAACGGCCTTTCTTGTCAAACATCTGAGAATTGCTTTGATCGATCATATACTTTGGTCCAAGTTCCTTATCGTAGCCGGTAGCGTGTGGGAAAACAGGGTTGTCTAACCAGTTCTCTTCGTCTTGATCTTGTGAGTCGTCCTGATTGATGTCGACATCGAAATTGGGTTCGTATCTATTCCAAGGTTGGCGGTAGTTGTTGCTTTCCTGCTGCCTCTGACGGTTGCTTTCATACAGTGAAAGGAGTGCTAGAATTTCCTCAGGGGTCAGGTCTACTTCCCTCTTGATCCTGCCATCGAATCTAGAAAAAATGCAGAAAAAATTGAGTAGCCTTTAAGATATAAAATATTTCATTTAAGAGGAGATATGCCAGCACATTTTGATTTATAGGTGTATAGGTCATTAACATAATAAAAAAATCTATACAGGGTGTCACCTAACGAATGTTACATACCTCAAGGGTATAATTTAGAATGCTGTTGATTTAACCAACCTTGCTTAAACGAAAAATGTCGCGAAAAAGTTGCAGGGTGTTAAAGTTTATTTTTTTATTTCTTGTTTTGTTCTTAACTCAGAACCCAGTTAACCGATTTGAGCATTTGCTGTTGCTTAGTTTATTTTCATCAGTTAACCGATTTGAGCATTTGCTGTTGCTTAGTTTATTTTCATGAAGTATACAGTGATTATGTTCCTATTAGGTTAAATCATACAGGGCGTTCATTTTACTACAATCGTTTCTGAATATTCTGTAACGAGCGTTCAAATAAAAACGTGGTCAAGTTGGTTCTGAAAATTTGGAGGTAGGGCGTAGCGTATAGCAAATGAACTTAAACGTCATCTGTCAAAGCGCTATATCGCCGCTATCAATTTGAATATTTTCGTTTTAAAAAGCGTTTAAAATGGTGTTTTCTCAAGAACAAAAAGTGTTTATCATAGAGTCCTACTTTAGAAATGGACGCAAGATTGATGGAATATGGAAGTATTCTATTGAGGAATGTTTCATAGAATTTCAAAATCAATTTCCCGGCGTTGTTGAGTACAAAATTTTTCAAAGTGCAGTTCAGCGTTGTGTTAATGTTTTTCGTGAAACGGGCAGTGTAACAAGAAAAGAAGGAAGCGGCCGACCTAAAAAGCGGACTGAAGAATTAAAAGAAAATGTCCAACAAATAATGGAAAATGCGCCAAGAACTTCTGTACGTGTTTTATCACAAATGGTGGGAGTATCAGTCGGTACCTGCCACACAGTGTTAAAAAAAGATTTGCGTTTGTTCTCCTATCGTTTAACTTGTCAGCAAGAACTTCATGAAGTTGATTTTCCGCGACGGGCTGTATTTTGTGAATGGTTTTTAAACAACTACGGTGAACTTCATAATATCACCTTTTTTTCTGATGAAGCCTGGTTTCATTTAAGTGGTTACGTAAACTCACAGAATATGAGAATGTGGTCTTCTGAAAAACCAGATAACTTTTTTGTCGAGGGCCCTCTACACGCTCAAAAAATTGGAGTTTGGTGTGCTCTCAATCGAAGGAGGATTTATGGACCTATTTTTTTTAATGGTACTCTTACTGCGCAAAGGTATAGAGAAGAAATTATCGCTCCTTTTGTTAACCAGCTGGAAGAAAACGAAATTACAAACTTTTACTTTCAACAAGATGGCGCAAGGGCACATACGGCAGGCGAGACGATGAATATGTTGAGGGAAGTTTTCCAAAATCGACTAATAAGTCTCAATGCTGAACATGAATTTCCACCGAGGTCATGTGATATTACGCCGTGTGATTTCTTTTTGTGGCCTTACCTTAAAAACACTATTTTTGAACTGCCTATTCCTGATTTAAACCATCTGCAGGCTCGACTTATAGACAAGATTCGTGAAATTAACAATACCCCGAGCATCTTAGAAAATGTCTTTAATTCTTTGAGGAACAGGTGTGAAAAGTGCTTGGAACAAGGAGGGGGACACTTTCAGCAGCTGCTTTAATTTATTGTTATAACAAGGAGGGGGACACTTTCCGCAGCTCCTTTAATTGTTTGTTATTGTTATCACGATTATTCTTTAAAATAAAGTTATATAGTCATTAACGTTATTGAAACTGACAGCTGCTATACAGCTCGTTGAGAAATGAGGTTAAGTTGGTCGCTATAAGCTACTCCCTACGTCCAATGTGTCAGAGCCAACTTCGACCACGTTTTTATTTGAACGCTCGTTATATGCAACTATCAGAAATAGGTAGGGAATTTTATTCTACACAAAAAATTTATACTCATCACAAGTCGAAATTATGCTCGGTTATGAAGATATTACAGAAACTATAATACATACCCCATATTTTTTGAAAATAACTATGACAATTTCGTCATTCAGTTCAGTCACTGTTAAGTTTGTATTTTGCAAAAGTTTGTTTCTGAAAATGCCTCGTCACAATGAATTTACGAATTATGAAATGAGAGACATGATAGTGGTATATGAGCAGGAACATTTTAGTGGACGAGCTGCTAAGAGAATATATGAAGAGCTTTATCCGAATAGCAGACAGCCTTCTCATTCACTGTTTGTTTCTTTATTCACCAGATTAGGACAAACTGGAAACTTTCGGTCTAAATCACGAAATGGAAGGTACGTTCAAAGAAGGGTACTAGGCGAAGAACAAATTCTGGAAGGAGCAGAAGAAATTCCCGAAATTACTATTCATCGTTTGTCAGCAATCACAGGAGTTGTACGCAAAACCGTTTCAACTATACTCTACACGCAGCAGCATTTTCACCCTGAACAAAATTTGCTTGAACCAGACGGCCCACTGAGATTAACATTTTACGAACGATTTCTCCAGTTACATAACAGAGATCACACTTTTCTCGGGAGAATTGCCTTTACAGATAAGACTGTTTTTACCCGTAGAGGTGTTTTTAATTGGAAAAACTTTAACGTGTGGAGCGAAGAAAATCCACATGTAATAAAAGAGCAACACTTCTAACATGAATTTTCAGTTAATGTGTGGTGCGGGATTATAGGAAATTTTAATTTGGGGCCTATCGCTCTACCTGCAAGGTTGAACGGCCAAAATTATTTGGAATTCCTTGGGCAATAACTTCCTGGGGCTCTCGAAGTATCCATCAATACTATATGACAAATGTGGTTCATGCACGATGGTGCGCCTGTTCATTACAGCCATTTGGTGAGAGATCATTTAAATTAAGCGTTTCCAAATCGTTGGATCAGTCGAGGTAGTGACTTTCTTTGGCCTTCTCGATGTACGGATTTTAAACCATTATACTTTTACTTTTGGGGACATTTGAAAGGGATTGTTTATAACTCTGTAACACCTAATACGGACTTTGGGATAGAATAAACGCTGCCGTACTACAAGTTAGACGAACATATAATTCGTTTCCTATTCTCAATAGTTTCATAAAACGTTTAAGGAAATTTGTCGAAGAGAATGGGGAATATGTAGAAGATTTATTAAGTTATTTATTATGTTTATTATGGTGAATATGATGAATGATGTGTTTTTTTTGTATATGTTTGTATTACTCAGTGTGAGATTTTTGGTTAGGCAAAACAATTTTCAAAAAAAACCTTTGATTTATCATTTTGGCGCGAGGATTTATTTCATTAATTTCAAACATTTTTTGCAAGACGCAAAATACCCAATAAATAATGGAAAATGGTTATATTCGAATGTAAATAAACATTTTAATATATGTACCTTGTTAATTAATTCATTTCTAATTTACCTACACCAAAATAAGCTTTTAATTAAAATAAACATATAGATCTAAAGGATTTTTTGTAGACGTTTTATGGTAATTGGTATCCGCCCTTGTTTATTCTGCTAAAATGGGGCGGAGGCACCATGAGTATGTATCCTGCTGAAAATAATATACAGCATTATTTACTGATATTCAAACAATTGTTCTGTGGAGCCTCGAAGTTATTTGAATATGTTGACTCTACTCGGGCTGTTATATCACAGTTAAGAGTTTTCAAAAATTAACAAAAATAAAAAGTTAACTTTAAATATACAGGTTTGTAATGTTTTATGTTTTTTTATTAAGAAAAGTGTTTCTATTTAGTTTAACTTATTAATATTATTATAATTACTTTAATTAAATATTTGATTCTTTTTTATACAACTTGCATCAATAAACTGTTGCGAATGCCACAGCAGTGAAGCTTAGGACTACCATAAAGTAATAAAATTTAATAATGGAATTTAGGTTACGGAAGTTCTTTGATTCTCTAATCACGAAACTTAAACTTTTGCAAGTAGATGATGCTATGTTCTTAAAAAGGTCTGTAAATGAAAGTTTTGTGTCAAATGTTATGTAGGTACTTAGATATTTAGATACTTAGTTTTGTTATCTTTGTTTATCTCTTTGTTAGTTATCTTTAGTTATTTAGTTTTGTTGAGAATTAGAATTAGAATTAGAATGTTGAGATGTTATATATTTCTTATTAGGAGTAAATGATATTGTACATACACTAATATTGAAATTATGTTTTCATTTCTCCAACGACATAATAGCATTAACATTAACTTATAATAAATTACAGTCATTTCCAGTAACCATTTCTCTATGCATTTTCAAGTATCTTGCAAACAGAAGGTATATAGAATGAATTTGGAAGATTATGACTCAAATAAAGAAGTTGTGTTAGTCCTAAGTTGGATCCTTGGGGAATACATAAATACGTTTTATATTCACTTGAAATGATATTATCATATTTCAATAAGAATATTCCATTTCGTAAATAAAAAGGTAGGTAGGTAGTTTCATATAATTTTTTTCTTTAATTTTAACAGGCTTATACTTTTGAAATTGTAACAGATAGATGTAAGCTGGAGTATTTGACAAAAAATGAATCTATTATGTTTAGCATAAGCATAGAATATGATGTACAGGGAGTGCCATAGGTAAATGTTAATAAAATATGTCCAACCTAATAATAAAATAAAGGTTGCACCAAAATTCACGCAAGAAGTAATTTTGATAGAAAACACAGTCTTTTAATTAAAAATTGTAAATTCTTTATTGATTCATGAAGTATACAGTATACAGTTATGTATGGAATAGCATATCGGGTAGATGGCCTTCACGACTTTGTTGGCACATACGTACTCTTTTATCGAAGTTTTCCTTGATAATTTTGCATAAATGCGGCTGAATTTCGTTGATACAGTTCTCAATTTCCTCCTTCAAGGCATGGGTGGTCGTGAACTTATTGGCATAAACTTTAAACTTCAAAACATTCCAAAGAAAAAAAGTCCAAGGCCGTTAAATCGCATGATCTGGGC